ATGGCAATCAATAACACACATGCAATATGCTAAAGCGTAAACACTCACAGTGTACTCCGAGCCAAAACAAAGAACTAGTTAGTAATCATGCATGATCCTAGTTCATTTCAAGATGGCTAATGCAACATATGCGAAAATGCATCTAAAGTAGGCTCAGCTATTCTAGAATGTCATGCGAAATGCGACTTGATAATCATGTATTCAACTTGGTATTGAAATACAATGCAGTTTGTATGATGCGCCGAGCCCGGAGCATGCAAGACAGATGAATGGATGCACGCATGCAAGCATAAGGTATGTTAAACAAAATATTCCCTAAAATTAACCATCGTAAGTGGTAAGTAAAAGGGAGAAAGACGTGGGGTTGGAACACATGCACACACGCACGCATACTTATTACAAAATTCGCCCTCTCGACGGAGGGTCCGAATGAATAATACAAATTAACTAACTAACTAACTAACTAACAAGCTAATTAGTTATTACATAACCAAATTGAATAATAAACAATCTACTAGGCTAATTATTACAAAACTTAATTAATTAACAAATTAACTAATTAAATTACAAATTGAAGCTAATTAACAAATAAGCATTAAACTGAGTTGCTCCAGCTCTATTTGAAGATGCATGCGCGCATTCGGTTTCTCACCCCGAAAAGCCTTCCGATTTTCTCTCTTGAGGCTCTGTCTGCAGGGTGTCCTTAAGAACTTGCTATAGGATCTTACCAAATCCATACTGGGGAGTGCATCAGTGGCCTACCGGCCATGAGGAGCTGCTACCGACACCCCTGCCGACCAAGAGTGCACATTGCCGGCGAAGGATAAAGGGCTGCTGGCCAGTAATAAGAGGGTGCCGGCCACTGATGTGCTGGGACACGAAGCAGCAGCAGAGCACAAAATAGAGGAAAATGACGGTCTCCCAAGGGTATGTATGCACTATGCCACCCCATATCACCTTAAAATATCAAGGGAGAGGCACAATCGGATCCAAGCCCATCAATCACGCATCTCGATGCATGATGGCCAAAGATCCAACTGGTACAAATTTCAATGAAAAATGAATGCACAAAAACACATAAATGCCTAGAACTCTATCATGCCTCATCAAGAGCATCGGCGACTGAGAATTGAGACACGTTTCATCACTTCAAGTATGAAACATCCCTCGTTTCTCGTGCTCGGATTAATACTTAATCCAAACAACAATGCAACACAAGCATGGCAAACATGCAATATGACTTAAGCATGTGAACATGCAATGCAATATGAATAACCTAACAAGGCTAATGGCATGCATCATGCACAATGCTAAGAACAACTAGCATACACAATGCAAATGGACAACGCAGCATACAAAATGCGATGTAACCTAAGCATGCAAACACATGGCATACACAATGCTATGAACTACATGGAAACAATCATGGCATACTCAATGCTATGAACTACATGGCATGCACAATGCTTACTGTAAGATAGCATTCTCAATGCAAGGTGACATGGCATACACAATGCTAAATGAGATGAGCATGCAAGCAACATGCAAGTGAACATGCTAAATGGACTTAAACCAAAAGGTGTAGACCACAGTCATGCCCAAATCAGTGTAAGTATTGAAAAGATGGTATGAAAAGCATGAAAAGGCAAGGCAAATATGCATGCCAATTAGCTCAAGGAACAAAGCATAAAGATGCCACTCTTAAGCACACTTAAAAAGTTACAAGCATGGATATATGACAGCACCCAAAAGTTCTGAAAACATGCATGAAATGGTTCCAAACCACTCTAGCAAGACAAACAAAGCATGCGAGAAAGCTCAAAGCTCGAAAATAACAAAGAGACTTAAGCCATGGCTATACAAAGCAAGCCCTAAAGGGGGCAAGGGCATCAAAGCAGTCCCAAGGCAGGTCAAGGTGAGTCTAAAAACATGCTTGAACCTGGCCATAACAAGCTAGAACAAAAGGCCGAAAACATGAAGCATGCAAGGCTACAAAAGGGGTGTTGCACTACACCTATTAAAACCAAACATGGCATGACTTGGACAACATAAAACAGAGTTACATCATGTCAAAATAAGCCCAAAAACCTACTGAGATGGCATCCCAAATACCTAAGCATACAGGCATGCACAATGATCCATTCATAAGGCATAAAACACCACCTCTTCAAGGCATTGAAAGCATGACAAATGTGAAGACATGGACATGAAACATGCACTGAAATCGCATTATGAATGATGCCAAATCATTAGAATAGTCCAAGCAATGCATGCTAGAAGACTTAATACACAAGGCTAACAAGCCAGATTGAACCAAGTCTATACAAAGCAAGTCGTGCATGGCCAAAACAACCAAAGTCAAACCTTAAACATGGTAAAACATGAACAAAATCTTCTCAGGGCTAAGCCAAAAGCATGCTAAAATGACATGTTACAACATGATGCATGTTAGGCTATTTCATGGAATTGCACTACAAGTGCATGGAGCATGCAAGGGGCTATCAAACCAAGCTTTAACAAAGGTATGACATGGTAAAACAACACCGAAAACCTACTGAGATAGACTCAAAACATGCTAGAAAGACATGCAACCTCATAAGGCATACAAAGCTAGTTTGTGTGATTTACACGACAAGTGTATTAACCATGCATGGAGTGACCAAAGCAAGTAAAAATAGTGGCATGACTCGGCAAAAATAACCACAAATACTAGCTAAGAACAATCTAACACAAGCTTATCAAAGGTGCTCAAACATGAGGCATATGAAGCTAGTAGACTCAATACAACGAGAGGGGATGACCTTCTCCTATTTAGGACACCAAAATCACCTTTCCACTATTAAAAATCCTCTGGATTTCAGTGGTAGAAAGGTCATGCAAAGGGTTCAACAAGAGCCTAAAGGGATGGCTCAAAACAAGGCCTAACAAGGCCTAAGAGGGGGTAAATCACCCCAAACAAAAAAGTGGCCTTAAACAACTATTTTAAACATACAAAAACAGAACTTTTTCTAGTTAAGAGTTAAGCTTAAAAACGTATGCGAGAAGGGCTAAAAGCTTAAGCAAGAAAGGGGGATCTAAAGGTTAAAGACTCACCCTTGAAGACCTTCTTTACCACTGCAACTCCAGCCACTTGTTTAAAGCTCAAACCAGCCCAAGAACACCAAAAACAACCTCAAGAAGCCTCAGCAACACAAGCAAGGTGTTTGAGTGTGTGTTTGTGTACAAAAGTAAGACAATACTACACTTTTAAGCACAAAACAAGAGTAAACAAAAAAAAATAGATACAAATATATATCTATCTCTCAAGCCTCAATTTTCTGAACCTCTGAAATGCAGGAGGAGCCTCTCCTTATATAGAAGAAAGGCAAAGCAAAGCTTGTTAAACAAGCTTGATAAGAGCTTCATCCCTCTATACACGTATATGGAGGGGAGATGAGTGAAAACCAGCTGGCTCAAAAGATCTGGCGCGAAACCTACTGAGACAAGTGTTCTGCCAGCCATCAGAGGTGGCCGGCAAGTGCTTCATTGATGGCCGGCAGGCATCATCAGTAGCAGGCAGGAGAAAAAAAAAGGCCGGCAGGGCCAAAAAGGGGTCGGCAGTGCACTATGAGGATCAAGCTAGATGGGCCAACACATGGTCCAAGAATGGGGCAAAAAGGATACAGGGTTTGTAAAGCTCAAACCTGTGATGTTTCGCCGCGAAAGTCGGGTACTCGACGAGCAATCGAACCTGTGGCTGGATGTACCTGCAAGCACAACCAAGTCTTGAGGACGGCCAAAAATGGGGTATCTACAGAAAGCTACTGAGTTTCAAGCATTAAAGCAAGGAGGAGGTACTGTTTCAGAGTATGATGCAAAGTTTACTGAATTGGCAAGGTTCACTCCACACATGGTAAATACAGACTACAACCAAGCCAAAATGTTTGATGAAGGATTAAGAGGGCCAATCAGAGATAAGGTGAACATATTCCATTTGCTAACATATGCAGAAGTTCTAGATAAAGCACTGATAGCTGAACAAAATGCCAAAGATGAACAACAATCGAAGGAATGGTTCCGCAAGGAACAAGGTTTTGGTGTTAAGAAAGGGCCGAGTAATCCACCGACAAAAAGGTCAAACACGGGAAGCACTAGTAGTTCAAATCAGGGTAGCCAGATTATACCAACATGTGAAGAATGTGGTAAGAATCATTTTGGGGTGTGATGTTGAGTTACGGGAGCTTGTATTGTATGTGGACAAATGGGACACCAAATCAGGGATTGCCCTAAGACCAAGCAGAAGGGTGCGAGTAGCCCATCCAGGTCAGTTCAGAAATCAAATACAAAGACTAGTACCGAGAAGGAACCAGTGAGACAAGGCAGAGCCTATGCGCTTATCCCAAGTGACGTCAAAAAAGATTGTGGGTTGGGAGAAGTCAATAAATGCTGAGTTTTTTTTTTTTTTAAATCAAAAAATTAGAAAATTAAGATTAGAATATTAGAGCTCCCACAAGTCTTGTGGATTCGAAACATCATGTTGTTTTTATACAATATATAGATATGGTAAAATATGTGCACATCTGGAAGAAGCCCCAACCATTTTGGATAGACTTTTGAAATCACCATTTGATTTTGGAGTTATTATGAAATTATTTATAATAGTAATAATATTCTAACTTTTTTAGGTTGGATGTGAAAAATTGTATGAAACGTTTTTATGTGATGTATTAATGCGAGACTTGGTTACTGTTGGTTATTTATTTATTTATAGGAAGATCATAATATTCTATTTTATCTTATTCTGTTTTTGGTGTGTTTGGTTTGTGAATTTTGAAAATTTTATTTCTATTTTTTTGTGAAGAAATATAGATGAAGCAAAGATTCTGAAAAAAATATTAATGGATGGTAAGATTGGAAAAGGAGGCAAATATAATTTTAATCCTACAATTTAGTGTAAAACAAATAATAGACAAGGGGATTATTTACCCACTAATCTAATTGGATAACAAAGAAAGCTTGAGTGCACAAAAGCAACAATTCTTTAACATTCCGAATGCATAACTATATATGCTACAGTGACATATATATATTCACACATTTTTTAGTGAAATGAAATCAAACGCCTAGGTCATTGTTTTGAAGATTTAAATGACCAACTCAACTGCATATAATACAAGCAATACCTTCAAGCAATACCAAACTTGTATTTATGTGATCTAGGAGGGAAAGAAGTAATTTCACAGCATGATATCTCTACAAGTCCCCCCCATCCCATATAATTCAAATAGTCACCTATACCTAGAGTGCGAAATTTAGAGACTGGAAACTGAAGTATGGCTTCTTTCTTTGAGTACCCAACACCCTGATACCACCTTCAGAATTCATCTGGCACATTAAAGCGACCGACTCCTTCATTGTTTCAGGTCCACACACCAATACCCCTATATCAGATCCGCCTGTTTCGTTTCGAAACTGGGAAAATACATCTGTATCCAATTCACCACATGACAATATATTTCGTTATGCTCTTGAATAATCCTTAATTTGTAGTTTATAATGGGTTAAGAGTACGTACCTTGGAAATTAGGCCTTCCTCCAAAATGAATTTCATGCTCCTCAAGAGCATGACTTGTTTCCATGGAATTTAGTTTGATTTCTCTGCTGTGTTTCTGGTAGCGGGGTGGAAGCTCCTTCTTTATCTTTCTCCATCTTAACATAATAGCCACCAAGGTGCCACATATGATAGCGATAGCGAAAGAACAGATAAGAAAGAGATCAATTATTGAAGAGGGATATGCCTTCTTAGCAGGATGAATAAAGGCAGGGTTGAAGCAACAAAGAACAATGAGGAACATAATTGAAGAAAACCCAACAATGACAGCCATCCAGAGTAAATTCTCAAGTCCATGTATGGCATAATTTGAAAATTGGGTGTCGAAGTTTATGGTTTCCACTGGAGAAAACTCATTCAGTAGTTCAGGAAGAGTTGAACCAGATTTCTCTTGGGTTACGAACACTTTGAGTTTCAGATGGAGTTGTTCTGCCGTTTGGTTCAGCAACGAAGGAAAAACTGAATCCAAAAGGCATACATCTTGGGACTTCTTCACAACATAGATAAGTTGTATCTGTGCTGGAATTCTCTTTCTGCCACTACTTTGAGCAATCTTAAATTCTTGCAAAATGCTTAGAAATGGTGTTATCCCTATTCCTCCCGCAACCAGGAGTAGACTATCGTAACTGCCATAGAAAATAAAAATAAATAAATAAAACATCCGTAAGCCAAAATTCTATTCATGTAACTTGGCTGATTCCAACTTTATAGTACCTTAGAAAGTCCAGTGAATCCGGTCCATATGGCCCTTCAATTGAAAGTGGGATGCACTTCATTTGATTAGGATCAGAGCCTAGCTCAGTTTGTTGTACTATGTTGTATAGAGAGCTTGTCCACCATCCTTCACATTTCATTATAACAGACATGGTGTGCTCATCAACACCAGAGCTAGAAGATATAGTAAAGGAGTGCCACTGTAAGTTAGATATGCTTGGTATTTTCATGAATATCACACTTGCTGGAGTATACTTCAATCCTGAAATTATTAGAAAATATAGGTACATGAGTTAATTTCTAGTCTTCTCGATTAAACTTTCTGATAACTTGAAGAACTTGAAATTTTACTTGGGTCTTTGGGCAGAACAAGCTCCATAGCTTTGCAGGGGAAGACTCGTGCAGAAAGTATGCAAGTTTGTGGTCTTGATTGTATGATCCGGAGTAGCTTATCAAGGGCGAAGAGAAAAATCCCAGGGAAAACCAAGTAGAAATGCCTATCTCCAACATGGAACAGGAAAAATACTAAGAAGACTATGTAAAGATGGTGTGTGTAGTAGAAGATTTCAAACTGTTTCCTTCTTATTTGTGGAAGTGATGTGATCCAGATGACTAGCCCTGTAACAAGAGCAATCTCACCAGCAAGGTATATGCGGCCTGTTTTCTGCCATTTCCACATCTGTTGCCAAGTAAAAAATAAATTTAACACAAATCTCAATATACTGAAGAAATTTACATATGATGGAACATTAGGGATGGGCTCAGAATCACCTCATCCTGAATGTGGTGTTTGAGACCCCATATAAAGAAGGTGCCTGAACCATGCAAGGTGGCAAAAAGTATCATAGCAGTCCCAAGCCAGACATGGTATCTTACTGAAACTTCAAACTGGAGGCCGAGTAAACGAAACACTGCCAGACCCCTCAAGACAGGCAGAAGCAGCAGTGCCAGGCTGGCTTCTGCCAACAAGCCGAACCGGATTGACATCTTATAAATTTTGAATTGCCACCTGAAATTTAGGGGTAACACCAGTAAATTTGGAATTTTTATTTTCCACTCTTCACAGTACCTTCTATGGAATGATTGGATTCAAGATAAATGTTATTACTCACATGTTCAATTTCCAGTTCTTGACTGGCATAAATTTTTTGAAATCATTAGAGACGTGGGCATAGAAAGTCCATGTTAGGAAGAGGATGAAGAGTAGTACACCAAGAATCTCAATTGTGGAGAAGATACCCAAATAACTGTTGACAATGAGTGGATTTGAGAGACCTTTTACTGGACTTCTTGCTTGTCTGTCATCAAAATTGAACAGAAAGTTGTGTGACATGTCCAAAACAGAATACAAAAAACAAGCACAATACAAATTATCAAAGTATTGTTGATAAACTCACAAATAAAAGTGTATACAATTACAAGTACTTGACACGTCACTCACATCTCTTTTCAACAGCTCACACGAAAATAAATCCAATTCAATAATTCCTACCTGCTTCTTTGATCCTTTGGTTTTAATTCCAAGTAAATAAATCCAATTATAGCCACAGCAATAACAGGAAATGTATAGACAGCCAAATCAAGCCCTGCAAAGGAGCCGTTGTGAGATCAGTGCTCCAAAAAACAACATTCATATTTGTAACTTTTTTTTTTTTTCCTTTTTTAAATGATTATTCTTGATTCAGTGCAAATTACTTACAACTAACAAAACCAAATCATTGAAAGAATATATATTTATATATGAAAAGGGGATTTTTGGTAGCATGTTGACTCATGTAGATATTTTTTTAATGAAATAAGTTCGTACCATTGTAGCCGAAGACAGTATTTGATGCATTATCTTCAGCTCCTTTCCATTTGGTTGCCCATAAATCTGTGGGCTTGAGAAGCCAAAGTGAAATCCAACCAGCACATAATAAGATCATCAGCAGTTTAAGAATGACAAGAAGAGAGGTGCTTGCCATATCTGCTTCCCAAATTTGATGCTGTAGAGCAGAGTGAGCACTGCAGTTCATTCCATATGAGACTAATCTGTTTATATATAGAAGTTTGATTGAATAATAACAACAATGATACATTCCTCTAAACTTAGAGCTCTAATTAAGTTCTAATCAGGTAAAAAGTCAATAAATAAATAAATAAATAAGAAAAAATATGATCAAAATATCACATCAAATGAACTCTACGTACCCATTAAAGCTATTAAAACTCACAAATTAGAGTTGTAAAACATTTTTGGAATAATAAAGACTGCCACTCACCTTTTCCAGGAGTGCCCATCACTTCATTTGCCTTTTCCTCACAGGAAAAAGGATTTTCCAAACAAATAAAATTAAATTAAATTAAAAGTAACCTCTTCAAAAGTAGGCTGACATTTCTAAATGTTACTTTAACGAAAATGGAAAATGCTTTTTTCTCCGAATTTTTCTTTTTCGAATTCCCCAACTGTCCAAAATGACGTTGTTTTGGGCAGCTTCCTTTTTTTCTTTTTTTTTTCTTGCCTCCTTTATGTTTGAAACGCAGAGAGGAAGAAGAGGGAAAGGGAGAGAAAGAGAAAGAGAGAAAGAGAGAAAGAGAAGAGAGGGGAAGAGACCGTCGCCGATCGAGGGTCAAGGCCGTCGCCGATCGCCTCCGCCTCCGATTTCAGATCGAACGCAGTTTTTTTTTTTTTTCTGAAAATGTGTTGATGATGATGATGATGATGGTGATGTTGATGAAGATGTTGTTGATGATGAAGATGATCTAGATCAGATTATTTTTTTTATTTATTTATTTTTTTGGATCTGAAGATGAATGGTTGTTGATGAAGATCTGAAGATGATGATGATGATGATGTTGTTGATGGTTTTTCTCTCTCTCTCTCTCTCTGCTACTCTCCTCTTCCTCCTCCTCCTCTCTTCTTCTTTTGTGATTTTTCTTCTTCTGCATTATTGAAAAATAAAAATAAAAATAAAGATAAAAACGACGAAACGACGTCGTTTTGAATTCGGGGAATTCAGGGAAGGGAAGATTTGAGCTCCGTAGCATTACTAAAAATAAATTTTATGCATTGAATCTCTATTTTTATTTGTTTATTTTTTACATATCCAATGGGAGGAAAAATATCAAGTGCAATCGTAATACTATCTTAACTTGGCCAATAAAAAATGACAAATAAAATTGAGAGAATAATCTAACAATGTTGTACTTTCTATTAGTACAAATTTTATTTTATCGTACTGTCACCTAATATTGTGATTTATTCAAGAAAAAACTAAGTGTACAGAAATAATTTATAAAATTAATTACAAACAAGATATAAAGGGTGGACTCACATGGGGGATTCACACTTTATGTTTGTCTATGATTGATTCAGTAAATCGATTATGTAGTTTAGCAAAGCCCTTTCTTCAATATTGTCGGGGGGTCAAAAAAATCGTACAAACAAGCATCTTTGAATTGAAACCACCAACCGGCGGTAGGCTAACAGCTAGCTCACGCAACAACGAAGTTGAATTTGGCTCTGACTGACTGAAGGGGGACTCCTCATGATCAGGAAAATGACGTTACAAAAGCGGGACTATTGTAACTAAAAAATAAATAAATAATTAGTATAGTTTCATATTTTCTTAATTATAATTAAAAAATAAAAATAAAAGTAAAAAATTCATAATCAAATAATACATTAGACATAATAAAAAATTCATGACTTATAACTAAAATAAGGTTATAATTAAATAAGAAAATCAACCAGAACTAAAGAAAAAAATGACATAATATAATGTTGCACATGGTAGGTGATGTGTATAAGCTTAAAATCATAAACTAAAAAAATTGTATTTACAAAAGTTTAAAAATTGAAAAAACACATGGAAGGATTGTTTTTTTTTTTTCGATAATGCTACGTAACTCAAATTTTGTGGCTCAAAAGTGGTTCAAATGGCCAAAACGACGTCGTTTTGAGTACAGAACAACATAAAAATAGCCAAAACGTTGTTTTGGCCATTTGAGCCACAAAATTTGAGCTACGAGACATTTTCCTAAAACTTTAATAACCTGTTCGTATGGAGTGATTTGGTAAGAAATGATGAGAAAATAATTTTTTGACATGTTTAATTTGTAAGTCGAGTAAGAAACTGTAAGAAATGATGATAAGTAGTGAAAAAGGGAACTCTTTTACTAAATCTATTTCATTTTTTTACCAAAATTTGTGAGGTTTGATGAGAAACAACTTCATTGCTTATTGTTGGTGCTAAATTTTGGAAATCCTCTGTCGACAAGTTACTAATGTGGTAGGATGGTTGATGTGGCACAAGTTGTTGACATAGCACAGAAAAGGGATGTGACATGTGATTATTTTTAAAGGTTAAGGATCCTAGAGAAGGAAGATTGTTTCTAAAAATCAAGAGAGGAATCAGAATTCGAAGATCAAGGGGAGCAGTCCCTAAAATGTTGGGATAAAGATGCAAAGAGATAGTAGATTAGGGAAGATCAGAACTGAAAACTGAGCTGGTCAAGTATAAAAAGGGAGCTGGATGAAAAGAAAAAGGATCATCAACAACCACTCACAAATCATGAAGAATTATTTAGGAGTAGTTTAAGTTAGCCATTTTAGGAGTAGATTAGGTAATAGTTTTCTAACCCTCATTTCTCTTCTTCCTGTCGATTGTTGTATTTTTCATTACTTTCTTCTTGCTTAAGTTCTTGTAACTAGTAACAGGTGACAATTTAATTGAATAAATACATATTCTTTTATGTTCAATTCATTCTCTACTTAATTACCTTCGGAAAAGTCCTAAATCTGTTTAAGGCATAGAATTCAACCACAAACCCTGATTTTTATTTGTGTTTATTTAAAATTTGTTTAAGTTTGTCAATCAATTACCATTGATTGGGCCTAAACCAAATTTTTACCAACATAAATTGGCACCCAGGTGGGACCATTCTTACTTGGAGTGATAGAGAAAAAGAAAACTGAGAAAATTGAGACAACTGACACCAGCAAGAAAGTTGTTGATGAGGCAGGCCTTCTTGGGGATCCAAGTAAAAGGCCTGTCGAAGATGTAGTTTTCCCTACTTGTTTTCCTAAATTTGGAGAGGACATGAGAGTCATTGCAGATAGCAAATTGATGGCAACTAGGTATGGAGAATGGCTGAAGGACAATCAGGATGCAACCAATGAATGCCACTATCATGGCTTGAGAACTGAGCAAGTGGAAGAAATGATTGCCCAGCTTGGTCATACTTTTGAAATGAGGCCTGAAAAGTTCATAGAAAGCATGAGGGCGAACCTCAAAATGCTTGCGGGATTCAGCCCCACTTCTAGTCCTTCACCTCTAGCCAAAGTGGAAGCACAAGTGACTAAGGTACAGTTTCAAACCCCTAGAATAAGTAAAATTCATCAGGGTAGTGCCTTATTTTATAGGACTCCAACTCTCTACGAAGAGGAGCAAGAGAGGTTTCAAATGAACCCCAATCAGACTTATAAAGAAGCTAAGACTAGGATTAGTTATAGAGGACAATCTAGTCCTTCTAGGCCTTCTACTCATAGAGATGCCATGGAAGGAAAATCACATTATAATCCAACTTTTGAGATAAATAATGAAGAAAGAAATAGACCAATACAAGGGGGACAAATTGGCTTCCAAGGTATGGAGAACCAATGAGTGATAGGGCCAAGCCTATGCTATGGGGACAGTTTAGGACCCCAAGGTATAAGGAACTTGTCATCGACAGACCAAGCTTACGAAATTACAACTTGCTGACCAAAGGTTTAGACAACCAAATTGTGATAACCTTAGGCCAAGAGGTAAAAACCTAGGTAGTAAAATTATCAAGGGCGGGGATTTAAAAATCATGAGCAACAGTATGCAGAGCAGAGACCCAAAGGGCTTGGGCCACCCCCTCAGCATTTTGAGGAAGGCGGTTTTGGTTATCAACCACTTCAACAACAGTACTTCTAACCTTATGAGGGGTTTGCTTCACCAAACCCCCAACCACAAATAAATGAAGGGGTAGGGTATGGTGCCTATAATGAGGAGCCAAACTTTGAGCCTACCAAGATTAATAGACACTAGATAATGGAGGTAATTGAAGAAATATATGGCCCAGGCCTAAGAAGGCCTAATAGGCCAATGTTTAAAAAACCATACCCCTATTGGGTAGATGAGACTCCCCTTCCCAGAAATTTCAATATGCCTGAATTCTCATTGTTCATAGGGGAAGAGAGTTAGTCTACTATAGAACATATAGGAAGGTTCACCATGCAATGTGGATACGCTAATTTAGATAACCAAAAAATTAGACTTTTTCCACACTCACTGTAAAAAGTAGCTTTTACATGGTTTATCAATCTACAAGAAAACTCAGTACCCACGTGGTAGGACATGGAAAGCAAGTTCCATGCACAATTCTATAGGACTGAACCTAATATAAGCATGATGGATTTAGCTAAGTTTAGACAAAACAAGGGGAATCTACAGAACAGTATATCAATAGGTTTAACAAGGCTAGAAATAGGTGCCATGTTTATATGCCTGAGATAGAGGTGATCAGGTTGGCCCAAAATGGCCTTGACTTTGAATTAAGGAAAAATTTGAGGGAATGGAATATCGGGATTTATTTGAACTCTCATCTAAGGCAACCATGTATGAATCCATCCTTAGGGAAGAATAGCAAATGAGGGTTGCTTCTCTGGGAACATGTTTCTAACTCATAGAATTTGAAACAGAAATGGACATAGGCATTGCCTATATAATTAGTAAAACACCAATGACTTGTGAAGCTTTAAGAAAGGCAGAAAAACCAGTAAACATGCCTTATATTCAGCTAGTTAGGAAAAATGTGTAAAGATGACACCGATAGTACTCCTTTGATCTATCAAATGCAGATGCTTTGTTTGATGAGTTGTTGGCTGGGAGGTTATTGACCTTGACCCAAGCAATAGCATCCTAAATGAAAAAGATAGAATTGGCAAAGAATACTGCAAATGACACAATTCATTCAGACATTCAACTAATAATTGCGTAACCTTTCGCAATTGTGTGTAGGATCAGATCTACAAGGGAATGTTGAAGTATGCTAAGAAGGAAAAATGAGTTATAGCTATTAATGGGAACCCTTTTCTAGAAGTGGTGGACATAAATATGGTGTCTACCAATTTGAGTTATCAAAGTAAGAATCCAAGAGTACTATTAAGTGAGCTGCAAAGAGTTCAAAGCCTGAGGAAAAAACTTCTTACTGAAGGGAAGAAGCCAGTTGTTCACCAAGAACAATTTGTTTGCTTAAGATGTGGGACTAAAAGGGAGAAAGCACAGGCTATTGTGGCCAACAAGGTACAAAAACAAATGAAGGATTGTAGCCTGAGGTTTAACACCATAGGCCAAAATGATTTGCGGATATTCAATGGTGCAAAGTTGTTGTATGATGGACAGGATCCATGTGCTTAT